GCCCCAGCCTGTACTGGTGCCTGGGGTTGTTCCTCCCCAGGTGCAGGACCCTGCCCTTGCCCTTGTTGAACCTCATCAGGTTCCTCTCTGCCCAACTCTCCAGCCTGTCCAGGTCTCGCTGGATGGCAGCACAGCCTGCTGGTGTATCCACCACTCCTCCCAGTTTTGTGTCATCAGCAAACTTGCTGAGGGTACGCCCTGTCCCTTCATCCAGGGGACAGTATTCAGTGCTTTGTGAGCAGAATATTTGGAGTGTTGCCTGTCTGGGACTTTCATCTGCCTAAACTGTCATTTCCAAACGGTTCGCTGGCGTAGGAACACCTTCGTCGCGTGTTTGTGTGTGCCGAGCTTGTGTTGGCAGCCTGCGGGTCTGGCTCCCTTTATCCAGTAGCAACGTCACGCTGTGTGTTTGAGGAACATCGTTCTGTTTCTGCTTTACTAAATTAGTGCAATGCCTGGAGCATGAACAAAAATGTAAATACAGCTGTCAGGTCTGAACAGGAGTTTTACAACGGGTTTCTACCTCATCGGCACCAATTTTCTTCTCACAGTTCGAGAAAGCAGAGAAGAAAAATCCGTATTACATTACTACTGCAAACTTGTGTCTTGCTCTGAAATACTGAACACATTCATTGGTGGTTTATTCCATGGATGTAGGCTTTGCTCATCCTTACTTCTGAATTTTCAGCGTTTCCTGGAGGTCCACGTTGCAAGAATGAGTCAGTTCGAAAGGGAGTGGTGAATCCAGAGTAGAAATTCTCTGTCAAAAGCTATGGGGGTGTTCAGAGAACCACAGAATGTTCGGGGTTGGAAGGGACCTCTGTGGGTCATCTAGTCCAACCCTCCTGCCAAAGCAGGGTCCCCTACAGCAGACTGCACAGGACCTTGCCCAGGCGGGTCTTGAATATCTCCAGGGAAGGAGACTCCACAGCCCCTCTGGGCAGCCTGTTCCAGGGCTCTGTCACCCTCAGAGTGAAGAAGTTCTTCCTCATGTTCAGCTGGAGCTTCCTCGGCTTCAGTTTGTGCCCGTTGCCCCTTGTCCTGTCGCTGGGCACCACTGAAAAGAGCTTGGCCCCATCCTCCTGACAATTGTGTTCTCAAAAGTACCTTGAGTGTTAAACAGGTAATGAACTTGTTAGCAACGGATCAATTTGGAATAAAAACCAGCCTGCCATCAAAGCAAAGGTTTTAAATATTTATTGTGTTTTTTTTAGTACTTCACCTGTTCTTTGTTAGTTTTAAGTACAAGATCACAAGTGTGCCAAGCGACATTTAAAAAAGACGCTTTAGATCATTGGTAGAAATCATGGAATCATAGAATCCTTAAGGTTGGAAAAGACCTCCAAGATCATTGAGTCCAACCGCCAACCCAACCCCACCACGCCTGCTAAACCATGTCCACAAGTGCCACATCCACACGGTTTTTGAACCCCTCCAGGGATGGGGACTCCCCCACTGCCCTGGGCAGCCTGCTCCAAGGCCTGACCACTCTTGCAGGAAAGAAATTTTTCCCAATATCCAATCTGAACCTCCCCTGATGCAGCTTGAGGCCATTGCCTCTTGTCCTGTCGCTGGTTACTTGGGAGAAGAGCCCAACCCCCGCCTCACTACACCCTCCTGTCAGGGAGCTGGAGAGAGCGAGAAGGTCTCCCCTCAGCCTCCTCTTCCAGCCTTGTTGCTTCAGTTTTTCCATCTGAACTATATTTCTGTTTACGGGATGGAATTAAATTATATTTGCTTTAGAACGAGACCAGTTGCTTCCCAGGACAGCCTACGAACCTCTCGGATGTCGGAGAGCCTGGGGTGGCTGCTTCACAGGGGCAGGGCTGTGGTGTGTTCAGCTGCGTAGAAGATTGTCGGGCACCTCATGCCAGTGGAGGTTGAGGGAAACTTCTCAAAAAGAAGTTTTCTGTAAAAAATGAAGGTTTTTCACAGTTTCTCGCAGGAGCTTTGGAGGCTTTTTTACTGCTGGGTTGGTGTGTAGCCTGTCATTCCTCTGGCATTTCCGGGAAATATTACCCTCTGACACTGAGCATATGAACACCAATTTAACTTCCTTTTCCCTTGAACAGTCTTATTCAAGTCTTGTGCTTTTTGCGCTTCTCTTTTGGAAAATATCTGATTTTCTTTGGAACATTTTCTGAAATACCATTTGCTATTTTGGATAACATTTCTGTGATGTTTCTGGTAAGAAGCTTCACCTACCTAGGGCAGAGAATTTCATTTATGCTCATCTCTGACTATGCCTTCTTTCTGCATAAGGTATATATTGAACATTTGACTTTAAGTCTATTTTAACATGTCAATGGACGTTGACTTCATAAAGAAACCGCGTGAGAGCATTGACTTCATTTCTGAATAACAGGAAATCCATTTGGAAAAGTTGCTGTGGATTCCTGAGAATACTGCGTTGCTTAGGAGTCTTTTTATTTTCTTTCCAACAATTCTCACATATATTGTGCAAAATGCTCCAGGGTATTCATTTACTGGACTTGCACGCTCTCCCAGGTCTCACATTATTGTAACAGTTGTTCTCATTTATAACTGAATATTATTGCTTTGTGGGAAAATGTAGAATCCTAGAATCACTAAGGTTGGAAAAGACCTCTAAGATCATGAAGTCCAACCGCCAACCCAACCCCACCACGCCTGCTAAACCATGTCCCCAAGGGCCACATCCACACGGTTTTTGAACCCCTCCAGGGATGGGACCTCCACCACTGCTC